TATTTTCTAAGTAAGGATTTGTGGATATTATCTTACATTTTGTATCTTAACTTCAAGAGTTGTATTATCATCAATGTTTTCTGCTTTCTGTTTATTATTATTTTTTTTAACTTGCTTTCTTAAACGACAGAAGTCTGGGTGACGAAGGTGACTAATCGTAAGCTTCTCCTTCCCTCAGGATCATGAGAGCAAGCCCTCTCTGTCCTTCCTTTCTGCTGCTTTCTTGAGGTCACAAACAGCTGTGCCATTTCTAGTCAAGTTATTTTGAAAGACCCTGAGTGAGACATACCCTTGGTAGGAAGGAACAACAGACAATTCAGAGATCTTCATCTACTGGGAGAAGGCAGCAGGGGATATTTCTAGTACAAGAAGCAAACTCTTAAATATTTGATGAAAGAAAGAAAGAAGTCCTGTGTTAAAACTTAACACACTAAGTCTACTTGTGTTCTTCGTGACACACATTAGATCTAAAGTCTTCATCACCTATGTTCAAAGTTCAATACAGTTCTGCATTGTGTGAGACTACATATATCTCTAGAAAAGTGTATGTGAAGATACTCAGCTTTCCTTAAACTTTAATCAGTCCTGAAATAAGAGCTCTTTTTTTTTGGGGGGGGGGGGGCTAGAGAGATAGCTCAGCCGTTGAGAGCACTGACTGCTCTTGCAGAGGACCCGGGTTTGATTCCCAGCATCCACATGGCAGCTATGAACCGTCCTTAACTCCAGTTCCAGGGGAATCCAAAGCCCTCTTCTGACCTCCTTGGCATTGCATGACTCAGGTGTACTCACATGCATGCAGGCAATACACTCATACACATAAAAATAAATTAAAAAAAAAAAAAGAACCCTTGAGGGAATGAGCTAATCTCTTACTGCTAAACTTCCAATGTCATACACAAGGTTATGGCCCACAGCTGGCACTCAGCCACTCAAACAAGCAAACACTGGGAAACCAGGTAAAGTGGTGCACGCTTCCAGTCCAAGCTACTAGGGAGACTGCAATGGAAACACCACTTGAGCCTAGAAATTTTGCTGTTTTAATGGCCTTAATTATACCATTAAAATCTTAACTAGGAAACTAACTAGGAAACCTGGACTCGAAGACTTCTCTACTTCATTGCTAACTTCAAAATATGCACAGAGCCTCCTTAATCAGTTCCCTCTTCTCTGTGCCAACCGCCACTGCTTCAACTTAGATTCTTTCTGATGTAAACAAGTATTTATACACCATACACTATACAAGGTAAAGGAGGTAACATTATTGTGCAGTGAGATGTGGGCCCGTCAAGAGTAGGGGGTCCCCGAGACTTTTTCCAGGGTCTGCTGAGGCTAACACTATTTTTATAACACTAGTAAGACTTTATTTGCTCGTTTTCAGTATTAGCAGTCTCAGCGATGATGAGCAAAATTGGATGAAATGGTAATTTTAGTTTAAATCAAGGCACTTTAGTGAACATAATCTTCATTCATTAAGGAAAAACAAAGCCTTGCTGAAGCAGTAAAAATCATTACAACTTGAACTTGGGTATACATCTTTTACTAAAGTTTAAGTAGGGTACACATGTGCATAAAGTAGGTGGCAAAAGACAATGGTCTTGATGAAATGGACTTTGCACAAATGTTTTAATAGTGAGCTCAATCAGGGCTGGAGAGATGGCTCAGCAGTTAAGAGCACTAACTGCTCTTTGCAGAGGACCCGGGTTCAATTCCCCGCACCCACATGGTGGCTACGAACCATCAACTCCAGTTCCAGGGGAATCCGAAGCCCTCTTCTGACCTCCGTGGCAAGGCACGACACAGGTGCACTCACATACACAAAGACAATACACTCATACACGTAAAATAAAAAAATTTTTAAAAAGCCCTAAATTAGTAACAGCCATTCAAAGTAATAAAAGATTCAGTATCACGGTACACAAGAAAGTTAGCCAGAACAGCTAACCTTTGGCTTGATCAAACTCTGGGAATCTGTCTACCAGAGTATTTCCTATGTTATTAGTTGATGGGAGTTAGTCTGTATGCTTAGAGCATTGAATAGTATACCAGACTACATAGACTATATCTGCAACAGTAATGATTTAGAGTGCATCTCTATTTTCCTTCTGGGAGGCTCTGAAATTACAGTAATAATTTGCGCAGAGACAAAGGGTTTCTACAACCAGTTTAATAACAACCCTTCTTTCTCAGTGGTAAGTGGATCTTCCTTGGCAGAAACACCTATGTGTTGTGGAGGGAGAAATGCTCTACCTTGACTACTACAAGGTAGGAAAACTGTAGAAACCACATTCTCCAGGTTCCACACGTGTGTCTTTTCCCCTCTTGATATGGTTTTGTTTACTTTAATAAACCATAAATAAAAGTTACTGCAAAAAAGACCTGTCATCCTCACATTCAGGTTGAAGCAGGAGGATCAAGTCTAGCCTGGGCTAAGTACTAAAACATTGTTTCAAAAAAAAGCAACAAAACCAAACCAAAAGCAAACACAAAAAACAAAAAAAATTTCACTCATATTTTTATGGTTTACATTTCAACGAAGTTTTAAGATATTAGTGTTTTTCAAATTTGGCATATTAAAAATTATTCACAAGTTGTTGGAAAAGGCTATTAAAATACTTGATTTCTGACTACATATGTGTAGGAGGCCAATTTAATTAAAATGACTTATGACAAATGAAATGCAAAGGTATAGAATTCAGCTATCTTCCCATAACCTAAAAATAAAGAGATTTGTAAAGTGTGTAAAAAAAAAAAAAAAAAAAAAAAAAAAAAGATACTTATCATGTATGTTTCTAATTTGGAAAACAGAATCATAAGAAAATAAAAGCATACATAGTTATTATCAATATCTAATTCAATAGGTAAAACTAACATTTTTTTTCTACTGGTTACAGCAATACTAAATTTTTCAAAAGTTCTGCTACAACTTTCTAAGATTCCAAGATACTTTTTCTTTCAGTGGTCAGGGAGGCTAATGTACCACCAATCCTATGTTAGCTCAGTGTCTGTCCATATGCAATACACTTCATTTCCCATGTGTATAGGATACACTGAAGTGCAGAAAGCACCAGTCTCATAGAATATTCTAAAATATTTTTATGGCTAGATAACTGCTTAAAATGTCCAGACCATTCTCCATATTATTGTGATTTGAAATGTTCCAAACATATAAGCAGCAGATCACACTAAAAATCTCTGGAAAGATGTTGGTTATATCCACTTCTTTAAAGGCTCTAAAAATCAATGTCTTTTGAAGACAGTAGCAATTTGTTCCTTTTCCAACTAAACTTCCAAATAAATGAGAATACAAAGTACAAGAAACCCAGTTTAACTGCTTCTTTCCACATTACTGGTCAAATGATTTCTAAGGAGACTACCACATAGCTAAAGTGAAATAATGACATAGCACGAAAAATACTGAATCATAACTAAATTAAAGCAGAGGAACAAGTTTTTTCCACCTAATTTATCAGTGACAGAAAACATTTCCTATGTGTAAAAAGAGAAAAGAGTATCACAGCATACTCAAAATACTAAAATCATTCAGTAAATATTTGAGGCCCATTTAACAAGCCAGCAGGTAGAAAGAAAAAAGGATTTTGGTATTATCTTGATTTTGAATTCAGTCTTAAACATCAATTAAAAGGAATAAAAAAACTAATCATTTTTTGAGATGTTTCTTCATCTGTGACTTGCTATACATTTTTATGAACATCAAATGAAATATACTTTGCTTTACTTGACTAAAGACTTTTATGAAATAAATCTAAGCAGTAATCTTTTATGAATTACAAAAACCCTGGGCTGGAGGGATGACTCAGCCCGTTAAGACCACTGGCTGCTCTTGGAGAGGACCTGGGTTTGGTTCTCAGCACCATATGGCAGATAACAACCATGTCTAACTCCAGTTCTGGGGGATGTGATGCTCTCTGCTGACCCCCATGGCACTGCATGACATGGGTGCACTTACATACATGCAGGTAATACACTCAAACACATTAAAAAAAAAATAAAAATAAAAAAAAGAATTACAACAACCTGTTGGGTGTGGTGGCCTGCGCCTTTAATCCCAGCCCTCAGGAGGCAGAGGAATCTCTGAAATTGAGGCCAGCCTGGTCCACACAGTGACTTCCAGGTAGACTGGGACTAGGGAGACACTGTCAAAAACTAAAGGAATTGTAACATCCAAACTTCCATGTAAAACAGTGTGCATCAATGATGACTACTGTGAAGAACATGGTGACTGAATGGTTCAAACAAATGATAGCATGCGATACTCAGAATATAGCAACCAGAGACTATGACAGCCAAACATTAGTTTTACAAAAGTAAAAAAAAGTAACTAAAGCCTACAACAAAGCAAAAATTCTACTACATTCCAATAATGACCTCTTATTAGAAAACAAGCACAAAATAAAACGACTATGCAACTGAACTCCAGCTGCAGCAATGTAGGATTTAAGAACTAGGTATTAATCCTTCTGCTACATTTTCATACCTAGTTCTGATCTTTAAAAAGGGAGGGCAATAATAGATAATTAAACTTACTTTCTGCTTCCAAAGCACAGAGCTCTAAATAATGCCTCAGGGTAATCATCAACATTAATCATCAAGATTCAGTTGTCTACAGGGGATTTGTTTAAAACCCATCTACCCCACCACGGATACTCAAATCCTTTATAACAAGGGTGTAGAATTTGCATATCACCAAAATGTACCTGCCCATGTACTTTAAATCATTAGATAAAATCAGATTACTTAAAATACTACTAACTTAATATAATTACTTTTAATAATACTTATAACTAAATGCTATATAAGTACTTCTTAAACTGTGTTTAGGGCATATTAATCGGGAAAAAAGGTCTATACATACTCAATATTGATGTCAACTTTTTCCTCATAGATTTTTGAATGGGGTGGTTGAATCCATGGATTCACAATCCATAGATAGTAAGAGCCAACAGAACAAATAAAAGTATCTGTTTGTCTGAGTTCATTACCTCTGCTGTTGCTTTCTGGATAGGCAAGGGTGGGCTTATTTGGGGAGCGGCGCAGATCACTATTAAGGAAAGGCTTATCAGGTGGGTATAACACATATGGAGAAGACTGACGAACCACGGTTCCATTAAATCTTGATGACTCAGCTAGGAGGTTCTAAAAAAAAAAAAAAAAGAATTGAAATTATGTTTCAGAAATTTAAACCACAAATATGTGAGAACTGAACATGCAAGCTCCCGTTAGGAGGCAGAAAACAAAGCAGTCCACTGATTCCGCAATAGACCCAACCACTGCTGTGAAGAGATATGACTTCTGGTGGCTTGTGTTTCAAAATAACACACAGTCTAATACAAATATTTAGAAAAGCACATCTTTGTTCAGATTAGAACACACAAATAACTGAATTACTCTACCTGCAACAAACAAAGTATTTCCTCAATATTTATACCCCAAACTCTCTTAAGAAAATAAGGCATGTTCTGGCCTTAAAGAATTTGAAAGCGGAATTATTACAAAGCAGTAAGACTTACCTAATATTGGTATATAAAACTATTTCCACATATATAACATCTTTCAAGAATGGAATACTGCCAAATTTGGGGTTATGTTCTACATGACATAAAATCTTATTATACCTCCATATGATAACTAGAGTTTTAGGAGCAGACAATTTTCTGAGACTTGTCCCTACTTTTCCTGAGCTCTATCCCCTTGTTTTGTACAGCTACAATGTGCTGGAAATTTGTATTATTTTTAATATGAAAGTGCAATTTTTTTGTAACCTTTAAATATTATGTAGGTATTTGTATAGTTCTGTCAATTCCAAGAAGTGGCTCATTGTAATTACTCATTGTTTGTACTTACAGACTATTTTGCTACTTTAAGAATAGAATTCTTCAGATCTAAGAATTGAAAATCTGCACAGACGGAGGCTGGGGGTGAAATGGTGGAGATGCTGGGGGCTAAGGTAGATGACTGCCAGCTCTTCAAAATTCTCACACATCCATTTTTTTTTCTTCAAAGTGCACAACAAACTAGGACTTTCAATTCAAAATAGTCTCTGCAAGTACAAACAGCGAGTGATTACAATGAGCCACTTCTTGGAATTAACAGACTTATCCAAATACCTACATAATATTTAAAGGTTACTAAAAATATCAAAAATTGCACTTTCATGTTAAAAATAATACAAATTTCCAGCACACTTTAGCTGTGCAAAACTAAAAGGGGACAAAGAGTTCAGGAACAGTAGGGACAAGTCTCAAAGTCATATTCAATTAAATGCTATCACTTCTCAGCCTTTGGGCTAAGATCCCAAATGTTAGTATCAAATACATGCTCTATCTGACATAGTATGTGGGCTCAAAGATTAACAGTTGTCATTTTTCAAATCCAATAGCAAACTGTTAACAGGTATTAAAGGAACTGGGAAAACAGGTTAAGTTTAAATTAATTTTTATTTATGCCTATCAGTATTTTGCCTGCATGTGTGTAAGTATACCATGTGTGTGCAATGCCTGTGGAAACAGGTGTCAGATCCCCTGGAACTGGAGCTGCAGATGGTTGAGAAGGCATGTGGGTGCTGGGAACCTAACCCGGGACCTCTACAAGAACAGCCAGTGCTTTGAACAGCTAAGTCATCTCTCCAGTCCCTAAGTTTTCAATTCTTAAAAAATAAAATATGGTGAGTGTTCTTGCAGAGCATCATGAATTACCCCACACCTTGATTTAACATATAATTCATCATAGGGAACATTATGTCTTCACTGGTTATCTAAACACTGCCAGAATCCTAGCATTTAACATTTAAAACAAACCAGATGATTTTACTATAGTCGATCCCCATAGAACCAACACAATCAAAGTATGTGATTATCTGAGTAATAAACCAGTTCTCAAAAGAAAACCTACCAACCAATGAATGCATGTCTGTTCTCATCCTGCCTTCCCTGTCCTAACAACCAATGAACTTGTATAAGACACCTGTCTCCACTGACCTCCACAAAGTCCTGGCTCACGTAATTAATTAACCCTTTCATGGGACCTCCCATTTCTTCTTCCCTACTCTATTTTCTAGTGTCATGAAGGACCTTAAGGTCAAAAACTTTTCCTGAACTTAGGACTCCTCAGTCTAGACTCTTCTCAGCTTTTAAAACAAAATCTGGGCTAGTAAAATGGCTCAGTAGTTAAGCCTGACCACAAGCTTGATGAGGAGTCCATATAAAAGTGGAAGGGGATGAACAACTCCAAGGTTGTCCTCTGACCTCTAGAACCCACGGTGGCGTGTGTGTCCACACATAATAAAAAATGAAATTTAAAATAAAAAAACGCATGCCATTACAGAGATAATTTCACCTAAATACTTTCCTCAGTAGACAGAGCACCACCTACAAATCCTGATTTCCCCTCAGTCTCCTAGGCGTCTCCTTCATTAACTCCTTGGATGTTTCTTCTCTTATTCAATGCTAGAGTTCCCAAAAGTACCCTCGAGATTCTCTTCTTATCTGTATGATTTGTCCTGAAAATCTCCTCTACTTTTAAGTCTTTGAGTTTTAATTTCCCAGTAGCTTTGAAGTTTAAAATCTGGAATCCAGAGATCTGAACGTGAAACTCTAAGCTCCTATCACTTTCATACTCATTACCTATCTGTGCTGGACAGCTTTAGTGTCAACCTGACACACCTGAGCTGAAGGAGCCTCAACTGGGGGCTTGCCCCCACTGGACTGGCCTATGGCCATATCTGTGGGGCATCTTCTTGATTACTGAGGAATGTAGGATGGTCCAGCCCATTGTGGGTGGTGCCAACCCCTGGCAGGTGGACCTGTATTGTATAAGACAACAGTGTGAGCACAGGCCAGAGGAGCAAACCAGTGAGCAGCGTTCCTCCATGGTCTGTGCTCCAGGTTCTTGCCTTTGCTTCCCTTGATGATGGACTGTGCTGTAAGCCAAATAAATCCTTTCCTCTCCAAGCTGGTATTGGTGTTTAGTCACAGCAATAGAGAAGTTAACTAAGGCACTATTTGAATGTGTAGCAGGGACCTCAAATTTAACAGGACTGCAAACAAATGTGCGGTTTAGTTCCCAAATCTGCTCCTCTCCCAGCACCGGTGCTTCCTACACTGCTCAGAACACCCTTGGAGGGAGCCATTTCCAGACATTTAACATTGAATCTTTCAGGAAATCATTTAGGGGCTCTGTCTCTATAGCTTATTTAAGATGGTGCTACAATCCTAGTTGATACCATAGCTCTTTCTGATTTAGACTACCGTGACACAATAACTATTCTTCACATTTCCTCTCCAAATAACTTGCTAGTTATGATCTTTTTAAAAAAGTAAATCCAAGTAACATTTCTAATCAAAACCCTCCTATAGCTTTTAATTTTTGATTTATTTAATTTTATGTACATGAGTGTTTTGCATGCATGTATGTTAAGTGGGCATATGCATGCAATGCCCATGGAGGCCAAAAGAGTATGTTGGATCCCCTGGAAATAGTTACCATGTTAGGTGCCATATGGGTGCTGGGAACTGAAGCTGAATCCACTCCAAGAGCAGCCAGTGCTCTTAAATGCTGAGCCATCTCTCCGGTCCCCTCCTATGGCTTTAAACACAGCACAAAATTCAAAACTCTTACTACCACTTATAAAACCTCCATGGTCAGCCCCGACTAGCCCTTGGCTCACTCGCCACACCATCCCCCTCCCAATTTCCCAGCGACATGTACCACAGGGTTTAGATCTCTAACATGCACAATACACTCTTACTTCCCATGAATACTCTGCCTACAAAGCTCTCTTCCTTGCTTCATTCAGTTACCTACTACTCAAGTCTGTCACTAAGGAATTCCTTGGTCACCCTAATTAAAACAGCACCTTTTATTTGAAACACCACTAACTGATGCACATGTACTGTGGTCAGATAATTCTTTTCCCTCTCTGTCCCTGATCCCAGAGATTTACAAGTTCCTACAATTTCTTAAATAAGGGTATCTTTGCTACACTTAGATAAAAGTTTCCCTTCTTAGAACGCCGGGGGGGGGGTGATTACAAACCTCAGGGATGGGAAGTGTTGAGACTGAATAAACCACCAATGGTTAAAAATATGATCCACTATGCCTATGTAATGAGACTGCACTAAATAGAATTGAGGTCTAGGGACCTTATGGATTGAACAGGTGCTGGGGCAGTTCTGGAACAAGCTGGAGTGGGCCAAAGCTGCTCTGTATCTTGCCCAGCTCTCTTCACTGCGCTAGTCTCCAGTTGTACCCTTCATAATACAAATGTAACTGTTTTGTTTTTTTTTAATTTTTAAAATTATTTTATGTGTATGTGTTTATTGCCTGCATGTAGGTAAGTACACCTGTGCCGTGCAATGCTTTCGGAGGACAGAAGACGCTGTCGGATTCCCTGGAACTGGAGTTACGAACAGTTGTTAGCTGCCATGTGGGTGCTGGGATTCAAACCTGGGTCCTCTGCAAGAACAGCCAGTGTTCTTAACTGCTGAGCCATCTCTCCAGAAAACAAAAACAAAAACAAATGCAGCTGTTCAAGGACAGCATGTTTCTGAATACTGTCAGCCATTTTGGAGATATTGAAGCAAAGAGTCATGGGAACCACTTAGTTACAGTCAGCTGGGAGGAAATGCAGATGTCTTGGGGACACCCAGGACTTCTGACTAGTCACTTTAGAGGAGCCGACTAATAAGGCCCAGTCCCCTTATAGGTGGGCAGGGGGAGGGGGGAATGATGCGCATGTAGATCTGAGTTACATCTGAACAGTGTTGGCCTCAAATGAATTCAGTTGGTACAGGATTTTGTTAGGAAAATGTAATATTAATTTTTAATAAAGAAAATAAATACTGTTTAGTAAGTTTGTTGAATTAAATAATTCTTTTTGAAAACAAGATGTGCTTTATAAAGGATAACTCCTTCCCACAAGATTACAACAATCCCTTGAGAGAGAAAAGCTTTCAGAGAAAGTGCAACCAACAGCACAAATGTCCCAGGAAGGAGATAAAGACGCCAAGTTCTCCCTGACCTATTATATAGTCCACAGACATTTTTTCCAAGCAAAATATGACTCTGAGAGTAACTTATGATTTTTTAAAAGGCAAAATACTTACAGTGATCAACTATTTTTCCTCATGGCTTTAGTTGTTAAGGCAAATACCCTATTTATAATTCAATTATTGCTAGACTTTTCCTGTGATTGTGTTAAACATGATGAGTTATTTTTTAAAATGTGTATTTTCCCTTGTTTCCAAGTGATGCACACAACATAGCTAAGAAATAAAAATTCAAATGCAAACAGTAGGTATTGCTGTACCAGATGCAACTAAAACTAAAAGACATATTCAGCAGAGTATTTCTTTATATAAAGTGTTCATATAATTTCAACATTGGGTCTTACAGACTGACCAACAGTTTAAAAAACAAACAAACAAACAAAAGCCCAGGAATGGTTACATAAGAACACTTTTCAAGCTAGTGAACACATTAGTTTGTCTGAAGAAGAGCAATGTACTCGCAGAGGAAATCCACTGAGGAACAAGGTGGGGCAGAACTTGTGGAGTGCTGTGGAGTCCTGCACAACCAATACAACGGTTTTACAGAGCATCTCACAGAACACAAACACTTGAAAAAACAAAGAGCCCGTTCGTTTTATGAGGCAAGCTTGATACCCCGATGGTTAATTCTGTCTACTTGATGGGATCTGTAATCAACTATGAGCCCCATCTCTGGGCATGTTTCTGAGGGCATCTCCAGAAAGGATTCGATGAGAGAAGACCCTCCCCCAGAGAAGGTGACACCTTCAACGGGTGGCCCAGATGATATATAAAGATGTGAGAGGAGAAAGGAGTTTGCCTGCCTTTGTTTCCTGCCAGTGAGGGTACCACCCCTTGCTGCTGCCAGCACCCTCCACTAACACAAACTCTCATCTTCAGCCTTCTATGTGGACTGAAGACCAACGATGCTCAAGTTGCCTTCCAGTTCTTCACCAGAGGGTGACTGCTGAGCTGTCCATGTATTTAGCCTCTTCAGTGTGCCACTGTCAGACTTACCAGGCCCCACTGTGTAAGCCAACCCAGTGACTCCCCTTTCATAGTCTATGCCTTCTCTGAGCTCTGTCCCTCTAGAGAGCCCTACCTAATACTAACAAAACCAGATTACAGACAGACAAACAGTAGGTCAGCATTTCCTCAGAAACAAAACTGAACATCTTAAAAAATTCAGGAAACCATACCAGTTATGTATGAAAGATAAAATTAGGGAAGCTTGGATAACTGTAACATCTTTTAGAGTATTCAGTAACATTCAATATACAGCAAGGAACAATTATGGTTAACAAGAAACTACCAAAAATCAAGGCAAATGTATTTTAACAGCACAAAATTTGAAGCATTCCTTTTAAAACCAGGAACAAGGTAAAGATATCTATGTAACTTCTAGTCAATGCTGTACTGAATCTTCTAGCTCACATTAGGATAAGGAAAAGAAGAGCAGGCGGAGTGGCTCACATCTGTCACCCCAGCACTGGGGAGGCAAAGGCTGGTGGAACTTTCTGAGTTGGAGGCCAGTCTGGTCTACCTAGTGAGTTCCAGGTCAGCCAGGGTTCATAGTGAGACCCTGTCTTGAAACAGAACAAAAAGATATTACAAGTCAAAATAACCTAAACTTAACAGACCATGATTTTCTAACTAAAGAGCACCAAAGGATCTTCAATTATCAGAATGGAACTCTGGCAAAGTTGCTGGGTAAAATAAGCATGCCAGTATAAATCTGGGTACAAGTTTAAAAATGCAATTTATAAAAACATTGCATAAAAGAAAAATCAAGACTATTACAGGTACGATAGGAAAAGGGTACATCCAATGATTATGGGAAAATAAACTAGGAAAAGAACATGCAACATTTCAGGCTATCTCTTAGCAAAAATTTACAAGTGAGACAAATCACATCTTAGGAGAAGACAGAATAAAAAGGACTGCTGGAAGGGATATACACAAAAATACAATGTCCTTGGAAAACAACCTACTGAAGTCAAAGATACATATTTCCATCACAGAACTATCTACTAAACCGTTTTCTCATTTGCGAGATGATATGGTTCAAAACACACACAACACAAGGGTGTGCACGCTTGTGTGTGTGTGTACACATTTTTTCTCCTCCCCCTCTACAACCCACAATTGTTTGGCACCCACATCCCAGCCTCTCACTTTTTGTCTTGGGATCTCCGGAAGTCTCCTATGCTGGGTCTGAACACCCGCTTCCTCATTCACTCTTTTGGGTATGTTGTTTTTGTTCATGTTTATCAACAAGAAAATCAAGTTTCTCACAAACACGGAGTTGGATAGTGAAGAGCTGTGCAGACTCCCTGAAAAGTTGCACAGAACTCCAAGGACCCTTAGATGGCTCTCTGAGGATTTCTGCATTAGAGAAACTTTTGCCAAGCATGTAAGGACCATCACAACAGTACTGTTTATCTGGCAAACAACCCCTCAACACCCAGAGTCCATCAAGATGCTAACCTTTACACACATAAATGAGGCTGTGACATGTATTAGCTCTTAGCGCTGATTTAAGCTGATGCCTCAGTTTGCTCATTTGAAAGTGGAAATTAAAGACTTACAAGGAAAAGTTCTTTCAACACTATGCTGCCTGTACTTCTACTTAGCATTACCCTGTTATGTCCAATCAGTTTTCCTTTCCCTATGGCTAGTAAACTGATACAAAGCAAACATTCAATAAATGCTATCTGTGTTGCTACTCTTGCTATTGTTGCATAGAAAAATACTTTAAAATAACCAACTGAAGGGCTGGAGACAGCTGAGCGGTTAAAAGCTCTTGCAGAGGATGTGGGTTTGGTCTCCAGCAGCAGCATGACAGCCCACAACTTGTCTGTTAAGTCCAGTTACAGTGATCAGACACCCTCTTCCGTCCTCTGCAGGCAACAGGCATGTGGTAAATATACACATACATGCAGGCAACACATTCAATACATATGAAAAGTAAATCTTTAAAGTGGTTTCAAAAAGGGGGTGGAGATGGCTCAGTGGCTAAGGACCTAGGTTTGGTTCCCGGCACCCACATGGTGGCTCATAACGGTCCCCAACTCAAGTTCTAGGGGATCCAATGCCCTCTTCTAGCATCTACAGGCATTGCACACACAGTACACTTAAATACATGCAGGCAAAACACTCCTAACACACAAAATAAAATTTAAACGGACAACTGAAATCTTCTCTGATGACTTTTATGTTGTTTATACTTGAGGTTTATATGGTAGCTGTTTCTTAAAGACTATGTTATTTGTGCATCTAGTTGTTAAAAATCCTTGGTAGGCAAAAACTCATTTGTTGTAACAATTTCCATGTGAGGTTTATCAATGCATGATTATGAGTGGTACAGGATGCTAACACTCACAGCATTGAAATCCGAATGAGAAGTCTTCCGAGTTCATGCTATTATGTTAAAGTCTTATACTGTCACTTATGATCAGTAGTTCGTTAACCTAAAGTGTTTTTTAAAATATTGTTTGAAATGGTAGCTTTACTTCTGATGGGACACCTAAGCTGAGCCATTTCTCATTCTTTTTTTTTTAATTATTTATTTAATAACTACACAATCAGAAGAAGCATTTCATTACAACAGCATTGACATATTCAATAACAATTTCCAGAGCTAAGATGCATCTCCTTCAAAACTGTCTGTAAATTTTTAGGTTTACAGTTGAATTAATAGTTATACAATATTGTGCTCAATATAAACCCTGTAAGACATAAAGTTAAATGAGGTTTTAAACTTAAAAAAAAATCTCCATTCCACTATTAAAATAGTTTCATACAGAAAACTTCATTTTCAATACAACTGACACTAAGATGCACATCCATTTCTAATCTCTATATATCTGATTATTACTAGTCATAGTTGGTTACTTTCTGAGCTGCTTGGCATCTGAGCATGGATATAAAGTCATCAGGTAGACTTCAATGGTAATGTTTTTCACATCCACCAATTATTAAGGAGCAAAATTTTATGCTTTGAAGAATTATTTTTTTAACTTTTTAAAATATATTTATTTTTACACCCACTTCCGAGATAGCACCCATCCATAGCCTCCCGCCTCCAACTAGAGCCCTTATACTCTGATATCCCTTCTACTGTCTGCTGTGTTGTCGGCACCCCCAGCAATTCCCCACTACTTGCCCTTCTGGTGAATCTAGTCAGGATATCTAGAGGGCTTTGTTTTAGGAGGGTCACCTGTTCCTCATCTAGTGGTAATCAGTTGTCAATATTCCTTAGATAAGATTGGGGTCTGCTGTTCATTTTCCCAGTTCTATGCTGGGTTACTATCTGGGAGTCCCTTGGGCCACCCTGGCTAACAACTCAAAAGAAAGTATCTCCTATCTGGCATTGTTGCTTGCATTCTTAAGTCTGAAGAAGCCAATTAAATTTAGGCATTTCTTTGATGCTGTTTTCCCTCCAAATTAGACATTTTTAATGCAGCAAAATTAAGAAGTTGCATTATAGTTTGATTTATAAAGGATTTTAGTCATTTTTAGTGTATTAAATATTTAAAGTCCATTTGAAACACTGCACAGAACACCACTATTTTCCTATAGAACACGCTTTGGGATTTCTGTTGAGTCTGTCCACATCCCAGTGGCACTGCCTTGGTGATAGTATACTTAAATGTAACAGTCAACACTTCGTGTTTGATCTCCAATTTCTAAGTTTTGAGAGGAAAACAGCCCTCCTCTCCTAAGTTTGTTAATCATATCCATGTAACTCATCCATTCCCTGGACACTTGTATTCGATAGTTTCTTTCACCCTTCATTGGTCAAATCGTGAATAAGCGGTTTGCTTCATTTCTTCTGAACCGGCCAGACCTCTCACAGCAAAGGTATCCCTATTCGAAAGGAAACGCGTATTTCTGGCCTCATCACCAATTCTAACGGCTGCTAAAAGTGGAAAGTGAGGTGCGGGAGTCTGGCTTTCCCAAGGCGACCACAACCGCTAGTCCTCTGTGCGATGTCCTCCCGACTCCTTCCGTTACTCGTGTTCACCCCTTTTCTTAGTCCTTACCCCCGAGTACGCCACAGTACCTTTGTAACTAGAATTTCCCTCGAGTGTCCTGACAGCACCCTGACAGCACCTCTCAAAACACTCGTCTCCCCTTCGACACCCCTCTACACCGCTGGGGTCCTCGCTTCCCACGCACCGCTCACCGCACTCTGGGACTGGGCACTCACCGAGCTGTAGTAACTGTCCAGGCAGTGCCGGGGATTCCACTCCATCCCCCGGCACTTGTAGGCCTAACGGGCTGCCAGGCTCGGGTATGTCTAACCGGATGCACCCGGCAGCACCTGAGCCCGATTCCCGATCGCGTCTCCACGCCGCGTCCCGGCAACCCGGAAAGCGGAGCGCGGGCGCGAGTGCACCCCGCCGTCGCCGACACCCTGCGGCTACCGGGGCCTCTGCGAGACCAGTCCACCGCGCATCACCTGGCTCAAGCCTCCAGACTCCCGGGACCGTTAGCGATCACGTGACGGACGGGCGGGGTGCCAGCCAACGAGAGAGCCTGCGTCGGCCCGGTTCGACCCCGCGGGTGCTGACACTCGGTGACGACGGCTGGAACGGCGGCGAGGACCGGAAGCCTCAGGTGCAGCGGCGCTCCAGCGCGCACCCCGCCGTCCTCCCCTGAGCCGCCCGGCCCACCCGGAAGCCCTGCGAACGCCGCCGCTTCCTACCGAGAACGGAGAATCAGAAGTTGCGGAGACCGAAGCCGTAGCCATCTCCCCGCCTGCGTCCCCCAGCTCTTCCTCGGGATTCCACCGCAGCCCGACAGAGGCGATTGGAAGCCGAGGCCCTAATGGAAGGGGCGGCGGGAAGGGTAGGTGCTGGAAACCCCTTCTCACGCTTCAGAGGGCCGCCCACACTCTGCGCATGCGGAAAGGGCGGTGCGTCCTGACGGACGTCTGCTATGACCAATCAGAGAAGAGGACATCGTCCGGCGGCCGGCGGAAGCCCGCCTCTTCTTGCAGTGACGTCAAAGTAGTGCGCGGTGAGTCTGCTGCGCTGACCGTCGGAGCTTAGGGGAGCATTCCGGCCAGGGTCGGGGCTTGGGCTGCTGGTGTCGCCAGCGACCACGGAGGCGGAGGACCGGGTGAGTGGAAGCTAGGGTATGTTCACACCGTCAATGCTTCCGCACTAAGCGCCGCCGAGCGCGCGCCGGACCCAGGACCCTCAGGTGAAGTACTGGTCTTCGCGCCAATGGCAAGCAGGACTGGGAGGAGCTTAGTGATCTGGTCCAATGGAAGCCGCGGCTGGAGAAGCACCGTGGAGGTAGGCGGGCCCTCGCGAGCCCGGCCCGCCCATCTCCAGGACTGGCTGCTGACCCCCGCGTCCCCCCGGGCTTGTGGGCGGGGCCTCTGCGAAGCGGATTTCCCGCGCTCGAAGCGGCGGCCTCCTATTGGCCGGCGCCTTCCTCCCTTTGTGGGCTCTCCCAGCGTCACCGCAGCCGGGGGTTGGGCGGAGCCTCCGAGTGACGTAGAGTCCTCCGCAGCCAATCGTAGGCGGGGACGCGAGGCCGAGGAGGAAGCGGAACCCGCATCCAGGACCCCGCTTCGTCTCCCTCCGCCGCGGTCCGGGCCTAAGCGGGAGCTGCGGGGCCGGCGGTAGCGGGCGGTCGGGGACGGCACGGAGGCGGGGGGAGACGGCGGCGAGGCCCGGGGCTTGCTGGCCGCGGCCCGCGGAGGAAGAGGAGCCCGCGGGCGGGGCGGCCCAGTTCCTGGAGGGCTCCGCCTGGGCGCGGGCGGCAGAGGAGCGGGAGAGCAGGATGGCGGCGTCGGCCCTATACGCCTGCACCAAGTGCACGCAGCGCTACCCGTTCGAGGAGCTCTCGCAGGGCCAGCAGCTCTGCAAGGTCGGTGGGCGCCGGGCGCTGCACGCCCTCCGCCTCCTCCACCCCGGGGCCGCAGTGTTCCCAGGGCCGGGGCATCAGGTGGGCGAACCCCGGGCGCCCGCGTCCCGCCTGCCTGTAAGAGGCCGGCCCGAGCCGCGCCCGACGGGCAGGGGCGGGCTGAGCCCGGCGGCCACCGGTCTGGCCGCAGAGCCTTGGGGCGGGGGGGTTTGCATCCCGGTCTTCCGGGGGTCTGGCCTCTCCTACTGGGAGCGGGGACCGTGTTTGCACTTTCTTGCTAGGAACCCGAAGCCGCAGAGCAGATGGCATCCTCCTTCCCTGTCCCGGAAGCGAAGCGACTGGTTTGGGAACAGAATGCTCCAAGATTTGGGGCTCCTCCCATCCCTTTAAAGCCGGGATGCTTTCTGTGAGCAGTGGTGTAAAATAGCAAGTCGTTGTACACGAAACCAATCCTTGAAATCGGCCCTGACAGCTTCCTTGATTTATCTGTACTGTTTGCTTACGTCTAATAAAGACAAAGACACCTATGCCCTCTCCCTCTCGATGGAATCATATCGTAACTGGCCATTGATGCGATAAATCATGTGGTTGCTTACGTGTCCAGCCATGTTTCATTGATGTTTCAGACGTTGGGTTAGGTTAGGTAATTTCTCCCTTTCAGAAAAGTGAGATTGGGTCCCTGGAGGTAAATACCGATTCTTGTTTTGTCTCATTACAGGAATGTCGGATCGCACATCCTATTGTAAAGTGTACTTACTGCAGATCAGAATTTCAACAAGAAAGGTTTGTATAACTGAGCAGCTTTTCATTGTTTAAAAACAAGTGAAGAATATCAGGGCTTATAATGTTGCTGTTCAAATACTCTGAAAACTGGTTTTGCTTGAGAAATTCAATTAAAGATGCATAATTTTGATGGCAGCTCTTGGGAAGCAGAGGCAGGCAGATGGCTGACATCAGGGCCAGCCTAGTCTACATAATGAGTCCCAGGCTAGCTGGAGCTGCAGGAAGACCTTGTTCCAAAAACCAAAACAAACTTAAACGATTAGAACTCTATACATGGTATGAGAGAGAACTTTAACTGAAAAAGACCTCAGTTTAGACATGAGGAAGTAAGAGATACGTTAGTGAATGGAAGATATAAATAAGCTCTTGCTAACAGTCTAAACATGAACAATTGCTGTTAAACTAATTTTCTAAATGTAAAATGTTAATGGGCCTGAAGAAAGACCTATAGTATTACTAACTGCCTTGCAAGAGTGAAATCACTGACTTCTTAGCAGCATAACTAGCACAGGAATTTTTAACAGGTCATTCCACTTTGAGGGCACACACAGATAGTAGATGAAGAGAACAATCTTATTTGTAACTATTTGTGGGCATCACCATGCAGAATGGCTGACTGGAGGTTAGTTAGGCCCTGGTGCATGATATTGGGCATTGGTAATGGTAAGTGAAGATTTGGAACTAGAGGGACGACTTGAGTATTTATTTTATTCTTTTTACAGAACACACAATAAGCTGGTGCAGTGCTGCAGGCCTGTAATCCCAGCACTTGGAGGCTAGCCTGGGCAGATATCCTGAGACACTGGTTCTAATAAATGAAGAACATATGAAAAATTTGTCTTTAAGAGAAAGTTTAGATACAACAATCATAAAAAATTAATGTTCATGTTTTTTAAAAGGTACTTGTCCTAGAATAGGTTTTAAGTTCTATAAATCTTTGATTAATCCATTTATTGTAGTTCAGCATGTGTTACTTAAACCTGGAAAACTACATGAGTGTAATCATCTGTATATAACTTTCTTTTTAGCAAAACTAACACAATTTGTAAGAAGTGTGCTCAAAATGTCAAGCAGTTTGGAACAGTAAGTGTCTTTTTTTCATTTCAAGTCAGTTTTGCTGGCCAGTTACTGTTTTTCACAAAGCTATACCTTTAAAAACCTGCAGTGTTCTATCTAGCCTTACGTATTTCAACATAACACAATAGTTCATGGAAGAAAGGCTCTGTTGATAGTCTCCATGGGAAATAACATTTAAAACAACTGCATGCTTTACATGATATAAACTGAATTTCACTGAAATTTGGGGATTTTACATAATTTGTTTTATTATATGAGTGTATTTCCTGCATGTGTGTAAGTGTATCTGTGTTGTGCAGTGCCCTTGGAGATCAGAGGAGGGAGTTAGATTCCCTTGGAACAGGAGTTACAGTCAGTTGTTACATGCTGGAAATTTAGCCCAGGTCCTCTGCAAGAGTAACCAGTGTTCTTAACTGCTGAGCCATCTCTCAAGGAAATTATTTCTTAAAGATAAAAATACAGTAAAGTCCTTAATATGGAGAACCTACTTTATGTATAATGTTAACATAATCAGACTTTCCCCTGATCTCGAACTTTTTATCTGGCTGTACAATTCAAGTATTCAAAACTGATGACTGTATCCTAGTACAAATTGGCTTACATGAAATAGGGTGCGGTGGTACACACCTTTAATGCTAGTACTCAGGACCCAGAGGTAGAGGCAGCAGCAGTCCTGTCTACATAGCGAAGGTCTTCAGGGAGACCCTGTCTCAAAGAAACCAAAAAAAAAAAAATTGACCAAAATGAGTGTTCTAGTAAATATTGGCATTTCATCAAGTTTTATGATTGGTCAAAATGCTGACCTTAAGGCTCCATACTGTCCTGAATTGTCTCTGGAATATTCAAAAAATCAAGGTATTTTTATTGTATGTTGAATATGCTTATGCCATTTTTTTAAAAAATTGAAAGCTCACCACCTATAGTATATATTCACCGCACCATCTGTACCTATAGATGATGAAAAAAATGGAATTGAATAAATGGTATATAGCAGTCTGCTTGGCTAGTATATCAGTACAATTCATTTTCTCAAATTCTGGGTTCCTGAAACCTTTCTGTCTGAATGCCCATGTTTTTACCTTCTAGTAAACAGCTTTTGTAGTGTGTGGCATGCTACGCAAGTCCTGAGTTTATTTCTCATGGTCACCTATAGACACTCTGCTAGAGCACAGTGAGTCCTGACTGTAGCAGTAAATACTAGTTGGATGAACAGAACATGTTTATCTTTGAATATGAAGGTGGCAGAGACAAATGGTTTTGATCTATTAGTTTGCTCCAGTAGTCCCTAAAGTATTTTTATAACACTGGATATGTGTTAATGCAGCAAAGTCTTAAATTCTCTCAGTGAAACAAGATGTATCTTTTTCAGCCCAAGCCTTGTCAGTACTGTAACATAATTGCAGCTTTTATCGGTACCAAGTGTCAGCGTTGTACAAATTCAGAAAAAAAGTATGGACCACCTCAGGCCTGTGAGCAGTGCAAGCAGCAGTGCGCTTTTGATCGGAAGGAGGAAGGAAGAAGGAAAGTACGTTTGTCCATGTTTTGACATCTGAAGATAAGCACCAAACAAGCTGGAAGTTACTACAGTTAATACACTTGAGACGTCTGTTCTTTGGATCCCTGAAAACAAGTATTTGTAGTAGTAAATCTTGTCATATATGGACTCGTGTTGGTCAGTTGGGGTTATTGTACTTTAAAATTATTCATGCCAAGTGTAGTGCATACCTTTAGTCCCCTGTCCGTAGGAAGCTGAAGCCGGAGGATTACATGAGCAGGCATTTGAGACCCACCTGGATTGTCTAGTGAGGCTGTCCCAAACAGAAGCATTAGGAAAATGAATCTGGGAGCTTTTCTGCTGCATTTGTTTATCGCCAATTTGGCTTGGGAAACTAGGTATCTTCAGAGAAATCCTTTCACCTACTTACTATTTTGCTAGTTACTTGAAATTGCTGGTATGGAAAAATACCTGATGACATATTAGAATGTAAAGTTCAGTTAGTCTTCTGCCTTTTGATGTGGGTCATGTTAAAACCACTTTTATTTTTCTCTGCTTACAGTGACTTAATATGTATATGCATGTGGCATTCCTCTGCTAATCAGTGTTCACACAGGCCTCCTGTTGTCTGTTATTAGTTCCAGTGTATTTGGAGCTTGACTGTCTCTGAGGGACTCCCCCAGATCCCCCCACACCAATGTATGTACCTTAGTTTTGAGACATATCCCCCACACTTCTTGTGAACAGACAGAAGGCAGAAACTTTGTCTTAATTTCAAAAAGAAGCTCTCGTCCCTCTTAACAATTGATTCTCATTTGCAGTAGTTGTGGTCTGGAAAGTTGCCAGAAGCACTAGTGACTGTTGAGCTGTTGCTTAGAAGGGAAATGTAGGATTGAGGTACTGCCTACAGTCACAGCATGAGATTCTGTGTTTATGTCAGAAGATGCCTTATCATATACACATTTAATTGAGCTCATGTCTAACAGTAGTAATACCTGAACAAAACTTGGCTAAGGCATGTTTCCTCCATAGGCTGTGTGAGCTCAGGAGGGCTGTACAGACAGCACTTCAGCTCTACTCTTTGGGACAGTTTTTTAAAAATAAAAATTGGAGGCTGGGCATGGTGGCACACGGTTTTGTTTTTTATTAAATTTTTAATTTTTACAAATTGTGCGAGTGTTTTGAAGGCCGATATGTATACTGAAAGGTGTGTAGTGTCCAAAAAGGCTGGAAGAGGGTGACAAAGCCCCCGTGTGGGTGCTGGGACTTGAACCTGGGTCCTCTGGAAGATCAAGTGCTTTTTACCCTTGAGCCACCTCTCCAGCCCCTGGCATATTCCTTTAATCCCAGCGCTTCTAAGGCAGAAGCAGGTGGATCTCCGTGAGATCAAGGCCAGCCTGGTCTACGTAGTGAGTTCCAAGCCAACTTTGAATACAGAGACCCTGTCTCAAAAAGACCAAAAAATTTTTTTTCTCCAGAACTAAATAGACTGGAAAGGATAGTTTATAGTGTGAGAGCTGAAGTAAAGAGTTTTACTTGTTCCACTTTGAGTTGGGGCTGTGTTCTGCTTAGTGATATAATTTTTTCATTGTTCTCCATCTGTGTGAATGGCTATAAATATGCTACAGTATTGACTTTGGAGTTACAGATCAGTTTTAGCAAATAGGTCTACAGATAAAAAGCCTGAAAATAATGAGATTGATTGTATATGTTTTAGCTCTCCTGGTTTTCTATAAGTTTATGATACTTACTGTTGTGGGAAGTACTGTATCATTTCACTCATTACACCATGACTTAAACATTCAGGCTAGATTTCCTGGAAATAGTGTTAGTTATTTCTCAAAATAACAGTACTAGAAGTCTGTAAATCAATCAGCCTCCACAATTTTATAATTCTTAAGCAATATCCCTCATGTCAAAATGGTTAATATTATAAAAATCAGAGAATGTATGCATTCATGTTCATAGAATTTCATAAAAGTCATAGGGTTATGCACAGGGGTGTAAAATATCACTGGTAGTTGCGTTTACATACTGGTTTCACTTAACAGCCAATTTACAAGTGCACTTTATGTAAATACTTTCTTAAAGGTTGATGGAAAGTTATTGTGCTGGCTCTGTACTTTATCATACAAGAGAGTTTTACAGAAGACAAAAGAACAAAGGAAAAGTTTGGGATCTTCACATTCGAATTCTTCATCTTCATCTCTTACTGAGAAAGACCAGCATCATTCAAAACACCATCACCACCACCACCACCACCACCACCACCACCGTCACAGCAGTGGCCATCACAAGTAAGTACTTTGAAGTGCTTTTTCTAAAATCCTTCCTGGAGTGGTGATGGTGTTGGTATTGCCTCACATACTGGCCAGTTTATGTTGTATGTGGTAAGCTGCCTGAGTAGCTGCCCCACTCCATGCACTATGTAAGTTTTGCAATGTAGAGTCTTTTTGGCTGTTTATATCAAAATAGTAAAAGTCTCTTTAGAAAATTCATCTATAAAATCATCATGCATAAAATCAAACTATCAGAGTTAATTGATATTTCAAACAAAAGCTTGTTTTTCAAAATAATTTTTGGATTTTATATGTATGTTTTATTTCTTTTATTATTAAATAAAAGAAATGGTGTGGTGTGTGCATGGTATGACGCACGTGTGGAGGTTAGGGGTAGAGTGAACTCTCTCCTTCTACCTTTATATGGATTTCAGGAATCAAGTTGTGAGACTTCATGGCAAACACTTACCTGCTGAACCATCTGAGCAGCCCATATAGAAATGTTATTTCACCTGCCCTTAGTTTATCTTAGTAAAAGCATATTTAAACTAGTTACTGAGAAATACACATTTTAGTCTTTTTGAAGAACAGATTATAATATCATTTGTGACCAAGATAGAAGCATTTTTTTTTTTTTTCTTGTAGTAGAGATTGCACTCAGATCCTTGTATGTGCTAAACATAGGCTCCGAGCTGTCCCCAGCCCCTACGGAAACATTGTTAATCATGGCGTGCTCCAAAATATGAGAAATAGTAATGTTAAATCACCAGTACTTTGTTTAAACATCAGTAACAGTGATCAAATTCAACCACATAATTCTTCAGTGATGTCAGGTGGGGAGAAATTGCGAAGTGTCAGTATCTTAACCAGGTGTGTGATGTGAAGAGGTTTTTTGTTTTTTCCCCTTCTCCCCTCCTCCGTGAGGTTTTTTTTTGTTTTTTTGTTTTTTAATGTTAGTGTTTGTGGAAAACTAGATTAAAATGAATTTTATACATAAACACAAATGGGGACATGATGTTACACCTATTTTCAAGATTTGTTTTTTTCCTGAATTTTAGTATGAATCTTTAGACTTTGAGATTTTTAAAATACAATTTTATATGCAGAAAACAAATGCCTGTCGCGTTCTGCAACACAAAAGCTCTATCTTATTAAGACTTTATTATAAACTATAAGCAGACACCTTGAGGACTACTGAGGCCTATGGTATTTACCGTGTTGTAGTGTTTCTTAGTGTGGCAGTGGTAGACTGTAGTGACATGTAAACTTAACAGTTTTAAAGAAATTCTTTATTAACCTTTGCTCAAAGCAAAGCCTTGTTTTTGTTGCGTTCAGAAAAATGACAACTCTGTGTCGTACCGCTTCTGCCAGGCGCAGCCTGGCGGACTACTAACAACATTTTTTTCTTTTTTGGAGGGTACAAACACATTCATCCCTGGGTATCCACAGAAGTTCTAAGTCACCTTGGAATTCCAAAATCCAGAATGCTCCAGCCTCCTATGTTGTAATGATCTAGTATTTGCACAGAACCCATGTACATCTGGTGCACTTCAAATCCTCTCTAGAGTCCTTATAAGACTTGATACCATATGAATGGTCATAAATCATTGTCAGCCGTGTTGTTTGGACAGAAAAGATAAGAAAAAAAAAACCAAACTTCTGTGTTTATTTGATCGTAAGCACAACCATTGTATAGGATTGACCCTCAGGTGCAGAATCTGAGGACACACAGGGCTGACTGTACTGTTTTGTACCAGCTGGTGGCTAAAGACCATTTTATGAATAGGCCGCCAGCTTGCGGGGTCCTACCTTAAGTTGAGATCAGAGTAAATACAGGGAACGTGTGATGGTGGATGGGGGTGGGTGTCTGTAGCAGGGCATGGCACTGAGATGGACTGGATCCAGGATGTGGGTAGTGCTGTTAACTGACGTGTGATTATGTGATTTGCTAGTACTTAAACTGCAAAGAAACTTGTTTTTATTCCTTTGTGGTTGGATCTTTAGATTATGTTCTGGGTTCTTTCTCATTTTTGTTTTTTTCTTCCAAGTACTTTTTAAATTTTACTTTTGCTTTAAAAAATATGACTTGAACAGTACACATATAAACACATGTGTATGTTTGTTACTTGTGTGAATACTGTATTAAGTGGTCTTACCTATAGAACTTACTTAATGCTCATACTATATACAACATGAATTATACCCGTTTTATAGATATGGGAACTGAGACTGGGGATTTTATATAACATTCTAAGATCATACAGCATAGATATTTTTACATTTCTTAATTTGTATAAATATGTGGGTTCTGGATCACAGAAGATATAGCGTCATTAATGTTATGGCAAAACGGAAAAGAAAGTATTATAAGCAATGTTAGTTGTTTTTATGACATTTCCAATATATGCAGCATGACTTCTATAGAATTCTGACCAAAGTGAAATCTAAAGATGTTAGAGAGGATTCTTAGGGACACTCAGAAGAAATCAGAGAAATCAGATACTTCCTTGACCAGTTTGATAGTTTTTAGTAGCTTGAATTATAAGATTTTTATCTGCATTTAGGATTACTAGAAAAGTCTTACCTTTATAGATTGAGAAGTAGTAAGGGCCGTTGACTTCAGTCATTCCCAGATGGCATACAGTCTTGTGGGGCTGCTTCTATGCTCACAGATTCTAGTCCTTAATATGATTGAAAATTGAGTTACGATCCTAAGAAGAAAATTCGTCCTTATTGTCTGTCTTAAATACGATGGTAGTACTCATTTTATTAGAATTAAATTAAAATGTGATTTATTCAGTATATTGGATTAGCTTAAAAACTTAAGTGTGCTCCTCTCAACAAATGATGTATAACATATATAATTTAATTTTATTGGGGAAGAATACTAAATGTAACTGTATTAAATGAATGTTAAGAGATGTCATTTTATCTGTTTTTCAGAATCAGCAATCTAAGTCCTGAGCAAGAGCAGGGACTGTGGAAACAGAGGTGAGCTGTTGTTTGTTCTGAAGTATCTGAGGTGCACTCTTGTAGATAAATCTGTTCTCTCTTCAGCCTTAGTACTTAGACTTAAAAAACATTGGTCATAATCAACAATATTTCAAGGAAAAAGGAATAGCTTGTCATTTGATGCCTTGGCCTTTTTAATGCTAATTCTTCTAATATTTGCTTTCAGCCATAAATCCTCTGCAGCAATTCAGAATGAAACTCCAAAGAAAAAGCCCAAATTGGAATCTAAGCCATCTAATGGAGATAGGTAAAAATGAATTTCTTTAGTGCTATAAAATTTCAACTTAGTCAAATAGTTACAATTAACTATTAATTATTACTAAATGAATTGAAGCGTGGGTCTTCTGCACTGATTTAAGTCACCCAGGAGAGTAAAGCAATCACTTAAGAACATTTTAATCTTGGCAATAAGAAAGTGGCACTGAACTATGTTGTTATAACTGGGGAAGAAATTTGGGTTTTTGAAGACAGATTTTGAGTAGAGAACATTATCATAATTGTTCTTCAAAGACAAACACGAATCTGACTGTGATTTTTAAATTGACCTGCTTAGCTATGTACTTATTTAAAATATGAGTGTGATTTTGTTTTAGTTCATTAGCCAAGAGTTTGCTGATGTTACTGTACAAATTGGCTGCCTATTGCTTTACACTAGAAGTATTGACCCCTAAAAGCTAATACTGGATTATATTTCTGCAGGTGTATGTAATGTGTGCCATTAGTAAGGTAATATGCCAGTTGCATCCATTTCTGTCAGGTACATATTTTTTTGCATTAGCCTTAAGGATGTTTGTGGAATTGTCTAATTTATGCAATTTGAACATCAGCTGCTTTTTCTTCTGCTTTCTGTAACTGTGTTTTACTTTTCTCTTTTTAGTAGCTCTATAAATCAGTCAGCAGATAGTGGGGGAACAGACAATTTTGTCCTTATAAGCCAACTGAAAGAAGAAGTGATGTCACTTAAGCGTCTCTTACAGCAAAGAGACCAGACCATTTTAGAAAAAGATAAAAAGGTACGGTTGCGCTTCAGTGAAGCTTGGTACAATTTGCATCTTGACTTTTACTTGACCATTGCAAAATTTTCTTTAATTATTTGGTAATGTTTGTTGTGTGTGACTCTTAGAAGATAAACCGGAGAAGCCCATTTGGAGTCTCAGCCGTCCGATGAAGACAAACAGAAGTGGTGTTTCTGGGTTTTTGTTGTTCTAATAGTTACAAGAGCTAATAGAATAGTGATTTCTGGACATTAACTTTCAGTAAACATGTAAGTTTAAAATAGGTCTAGGTCTAATACCTTGTCCCAGCACCCACATCCATCCATCCGTAACTCTAGTTCCCGGGGATCCAACACCCTCTTCTGTCCTCCAAGGGCATTGCACAACATGGGTGCACTTACATATGTGCAGGCAGTACACTCATACACATAAAATGATAAACTATTTTTAAAAATTAAAAAAGGATGTAAATGGAATATTGCATAAATTACTGTGGTTTAAAAAGTAATTGAATAAATCCTTGACTTGTACTGGCCTTGGCTTTATGCTAATCTGTCAGTTAACAGATGAGAAGTAATGGTAGTATGGTATCTTATGTGTCTGATTAGGAATAGGGGTCTGAGATCATCTAGAAAGGGTGTGCACTGACAGTTCCTTAGTTAAACCAAAGGAATGCCGTATTAGTTATGTGAGCAGATGCTGACAGATTTTAAGGTTGTCTTGTAAGGAGGCCAGGCAAGGAGCAGGGAACAGGCGTTAATTAACAGTCGTTAATTGTATTCATGCTCAAATTCCAATTCTGGCCATTTCTGTGTGGCCTTGACTGGAACCTTCAGCACTTTAAGCCTTAGTTTTCTCCTATGAATGGGAGCTTCAGAATCCATGGAGTGGCTGTGGTGATGGATGAGTACACTTAGTACTCCCTGCAGTCCTGGGGGTGTGAGAGTACTCGGGGCTTGATCATCTTTGAGGAGCACATTTGCGCTTGCTTTATGGTCCCAAACAAATAAACATGTAGTGGGAAAGCCTTGAAACCGTTTTTACAATCTTGAACTCCTAAAAAACAGTAAGTTATTTTTAATGGGCGAAAGAAACAAGAGAAACAAAGGAACAGCTTGTAAATACGAAAAGGCTCTTGACAATTTGACATGAGCAGTAAAGAAATTTGAATTTTGTTGTTTTGAGACAGGATTTCCCTATAGCCCCAGCTGAACTGGAACTGGCTGTGTGGACCAGGCTGGCCTTGAATGCAGAAATCTGCCTGCCTAAGAAATGCAGATTTTTGAAACATTTTAAAAGTCATTGTTATAAACATACCCTTCCTTCTCTTGGTGCCGTAGTTGTCTGGGAGCCTGAGCTTGCAATTTATCTGGCATTCAGCAACATTTTTGTTTTGTTTTGTGTTTTTTTGAGGTGGGGTCTTCCTGTGGTCCCACCTGGGCCAGAACTCGCTTTGTACATTAGGCTGGCTTTGATCTCACAGATTCACCTGCCTCTGCCTCCTCAGTGCTGAGATTAAAGGCATGCACCACCTTGCCCAGCCCACATTCAACAGCTTCGATGTTTCAGTTTTATGTTTTTTAATACTTTATTTTTTGTATGTGAGTGTATTATCTGAATGTGTGTGTATAAGTGCACCCGGGTTGTGCAGTGTCCAAGGAGGTCAGAAGAGGTTATCAGATTCCCTGGAACTATAGTAGGACAGTTTTTAACTGCCATCTGGAATGCTGGGATTCAATCCCGGGTCCTCTGCAAGAGCAGCCCGTGCTCAGCTGCTGAGCCGTCTGTCCAGCCCTGATGTTCTTTATTTTGATACATCTTTATGGAAATCCTTACACAAAACTTGAGACTCTTGTATGTCAAAATTGTTTAAATTAATTTTAAATTAATAAGCTCTTACGGAAATCCACTTGAATGTCAAAGGTTTTGAAATACAAAAGCCAAGTATGTCTACAATAAACCTTGAAGAAAGTTGAATAAAATACCAAATTTACTGCAAAATAGCACATCTCAAGCCAGGTATTGATAACTGCAGAATGCTGACTTGCTTAGATTTTTTTTTTTTTTAACCTCCAACATAGCTATTCTGTGTAAGTATATTTAGTTGAAGTTTACACACTTGTAACTTTATAAATCCAAAACTATTAAGTTTTTTGACTATCCCTATTTCAGTTATTGAATGACTTCTAAAGCCAGACACTGTACTAGATCAGAAAAATGCAGACAGATAAACACCATTGTCTTTACCGATCAGAAGTTCGTGATCTGGAAGCAGTGCACAGTGTAGTGACAAGAATAGCTGTTGAGTGATAGTGTGTAAATTGCATTTCAGAATGGGAATCCTTTTTAGCCTATGGTGACTGGAGAGGGCGGGAGGCTTGTTCTTTGAATTTGACCAAAGCCTTCTGTCTGGAAAGATGAGGTAGTGGTGACTCTTAGCAGGTGAGCTCCTTGCCTTTGCCAGGTTCTGGGTAATAGTGGAAAGCATACTTCAAGGCTTACATGGGGACAGTCACTTCTAAACAAGCCTAAGCAGCTTCAGAGTGGCTCTGCCAGTGCAGTTCTGTAACAGCTTACCAAATTGAAATCACAAGATGCCACACGTTTGTGTTCATCTTTATGAAAGAATTGTCTTGTCTTTGCTTCCTCACACCATTGATGTTCCCTTTATAATTGCCTGATCTGGTTCACGTCTTAGAGTAATTGTGTTCCTTCCATCTACATGGTTGCATCTCTCCTTCTTTGTTCTGTGTGGAGAGGTAAATGTGTGCGTGCTAGTGGGCTTAAGTTAGCGATCACAGCACTTGCCCTTGGTTGATGTCCATGTTGTTCATAGTTGCCCATTATGAAACCTTTTTCTTTTTATCAGTGAAAGATTATTTTAACTGGAAACCTGTTTAAGTTAATGTGAAGTACATTTAGTTGAAGCAGTTTCTAAGGTACTAGCCATTAAGCTTTTGTTTGTATGCCAGTTCTTCAAAATGTGACCAATGAAGCTAAAAACAAACCCCATTGACTTCAGAGATCTTACTGATTGTTGATGCCGTCTCAACATTAGAATCATACTGATTCTTAGCTACTGTCCTAACATTAAAGTCCTGCCCCTGCTATAGTCAGACAGACAGAATTCATCAGTTCATAAAAGAGATGGGTAAATGTAAGACCCTGGAAACTGCTACCCACCTTGTCTGCTTTTATAGTGAATGAGAGTCTGCTGTGAAGAGTTTTTAAATGGTGTGTTTGTGTATGTGTATATGATTTCCCCCCCTCTAATTTTGCAGTTAACTGAGCTGAAGGCAGACTTCCAATACCAAGAGTCAAATTTGAGAGCAAAGATGAACAGTATGGAGAAAGCTCACAAAGAAACCGTGGAACAACTTCAGGTAAATGACATTATTGATGTAAATGTTAGCCATGGAGAATTAACTTGGATAATAGCATTCATTGACATAGATTGGTGGTGTTATCCCATATCTGTGCATATTTTGTGCACTTCCTATTTTAATTTTGACTATATATTTTCAAACAGTGACTCAGCACATTGATCTTGAAAACCTTAAACTTCATTGGGGATTTCCAGAAGCTAGTGAAGACCATTCACTTGACTGTCGAGCTAAAGCACAATATCATGTTTGTGACAGTGAGTGAAAGTTAAGGTCTGTGATGATTCTCCTGATCTCCCTTCAGATAATAGGGAGGGAGGTGGATCTAGCAAACCAGTTCTCAGAGCTCAGGATTGAAGGAAGTTTCTTTTGTGTGCGAGCACTGCCCGTCAGGACAGTGCACCTCCCTGTGGGCTGTGCTGTGCAGAGTGCCCAACCAGGGACTCCTGTGCCGGCAACAGCTCATCATCCACCTCAGTCTGAGAATGTTGCAGAGCATAACAACATAATAGTTATATCAATATGAATAACTTAAATATAAAGGTACAGACTTTAAATGTACAGAGGAACTGAACGATGGAGTTAAGATGCACCACATTTTCACAAGGCTGATGACCTGCTTGCTGTCTGCCATGCACTGAAGCAGATGACCTCCTTCAAACCCACTTATTGATAGATTGGGACAGGAAGCCACACTAAGTTAACTGCATGGTCTCCAATGTGCAGATTATGACATTTACATGAAACCACAATAAGTTAACTCGACATTTGCAGAGTTAACCTCTGAATAAGAGTTAAGGTTTTATTAATTTCCTTACTTAATTTTGCTGTGCTGGAGATCAAGCCCAGGTTCTCAGACAAGCGAGGCAGGTGTGCTGCCACTGAGCTTAGCCTCTCAGGGTTAAGAAGCTTAGGTCTTAAACGTGTAGATGATGTCCTATAGACCTGAGACTTGGAGAGTAAACTTTTAGAAGAAAAAAGAGATTATTGTCTCATTTTTGGCTTTTGGATTTTTTTTTTTTTTTTCTGTAACACTAGTCTCTGCTCTTCCTGTTATGATTTCGTGTTCCTCATCACGGAATAGAATTTAGGTGCTACTGAAACTCCAGGTATAGATTACCTGGTCTTAAACCTGATCTTACTGGGAAAAGGAATTGGAAGAGGAGGCTGTATAGGAAGGACCTGGGGTAGAGTAAGCCCTCGGATGTTTGCTCGGTGAGTGGAGATTGTGGACCACGCATCTGCTCTCTCTGCTCGGAGGCCAACCACTGTCAGTGTGCTCTTCCTCTGCGTTACTTACACTTTTCATCCAGCAGCGGATTTTTGATCATATTCTTTACGAATGTGATGTGCATTTGGAATGATTCTCTGAAATATAATCAACCCGATAGTCTCTGATTTAGTCCACTGTAAACAAAGCTTTGAAGTAAATGCAGAATGAAGTGAAAGAGTAACCATGGCAACCGTGAACTCTACCTAGGTATGCGTTACCTTGGTAATTCCCACTGCTTAAACAGATTTGTTTTCTTTTTTTTTTTTTCAAAGTCAGTTGCAAGTACAGAGACCTGGCTTTGCTTTAGCATGATGGGCACTCTAACCTACCTCCTCAGCTTCAGTTGCATGTAGTTCGTTGTAGCTAACATCCATGTAGAAGAGGGACACATCCAGGTGTGGTTCTGTGTGTGCTCTCATTATTTGCTCCTTACAAAAACGAGTTAAAATAGTTCTGCCCATTTTATAGGTGAAACAAACTGTGGTCCCATTTTATTAAGTAGGCCATAGAGACTTAATCTTGCTTCGGCTTGTCTCTCCATTAACCCATTCTGCATCTGCTCACATGCGACCCTCAGGTACTCAGTATTGTCATTGGACCACTTGCCTCTGAGTTTTGAGTTAGCGCTAGAGATGCAGCTGCGTAATCGCAGCTTGGACCAGTCAGTAGCCATTACCCAGCTACTTGTAGGATTCTTTACCGAGGTGAGTATACAGTTAGTTTTTTATCTTTTTATTTTTTATTTTTAGTTCAGTTTTTAGATAGTGCTTCAAAACACAGCCCAGGTTAATGCAGAATGCTCCTCTAGGCTCCTGAGTGCTGGGATTCCAGGTGTTCCCCAGTATACCTGGTTGTTTTCTTAATCTTTGTATGATACAGATTTGAATTCTTAACAAAATTCATCTTGTTCTAATAGCCCTTGAAATATTTTAAACTATCAAACTTGGGCATAAGGGCAAGTTCATCCCTAAAATGGCCTAAAATACTACCTGAGTACTGAGAATACCAAGTACAAATTCTGTTCTTCTAGTAGAAAAGTAGCTAAAAGAGAAAAGGAAATAACCTTTCCATTCTGCTGTGTGCAGGTCACACTGTACTTTGGCTGTTTTGTGTGTTTGTTTAGTTCTTTCAAGGCTGACTGAGTGGTAGAGTTTCTATATTACAGATAAGAAGGTATACTTCAGTTTAAATTATAGATAAGTCATAGAGCCTAGAGTTAAACAGAGTCTCTGTAATTCTTAATTGTAACAGTCCTTCCTTTAGGCTAACATTTCTAAATGTTTTGGCTTGAGAGTTTTAAGATAATATCATTGACTTCTATAAGTTGCAAATAAGTATTCTTCAGATAAAAATTTCACGTGTATGTATTTAGATACTGCATTATAAAATTTATATTTAAAATGCTCACGTTAGAATAAAACAGATTTAGATTTGTCCATTTAACTATCAATGCACTATTTCCTTAAAGGCTTTTCAAATGTAATTTATTAACAAAGTTATGCCATTGGGGGAGTAAATATGTGACTACTTAAATACAGATTGAAATTAGCTACAAAAGTATTAAAAAGAAAAACTGTCAAGACCAAATTTTTGAGTAAGTTCAGTTTTTCTGGATGGATGAGAATTTGGAGATTGTGTAAGTGTAATTTACGGATCTGACAGTCTGGCAAATTTCAGACAATAGCCTTTTTATGTCGTTTATTGTTTAGTACTCTGGTTTGTTTAACTTTCCTCTTTTTAGCCAGTGGGTCTGTTACAGTTAAATATTAATAAGTAGCTACAGTAATTGAAATTTTTTAATTATGGCAATGGTTGGGATTTTTTGGAGAGTAACAAATTGCATGCTTGCAAGCAGTGTGGGACGTCAATTCCTCTACCTGCCAGGCATCTTCACTTAGGCTTCTCTTTAGTTTCTCAAACTGTTTTAGGTGTCTTATTGATTTATTTAAACCGTGCTCTATGACTCATTCTGTCCTAGAACACATTATGTAGTCAAGCTGATCTCAAACTTGTGGTTCTTCTGCCTCAGCCTCTAGAGTGCTAGAATTCTATACCTGGCTCAAGCTGTTAGAAGAGAAAACAAAAGCTGCTCACTTCTGAGTGGCTTTCTTGTACTGAAGTTAAAATAGAGGCTGCATTACCACCTTCAGTTATTTAATAAACCATTGAATCATGAAGCCAAACAAAATGCTTGGATTGCATACATAAGGTACATTGAGAACATTGCATTTTGGAGGTCATATGTGCTAATTAACTACAGTTGGGAAATGGTGGGGGAATGGAAGGACACCATGGAAAGGATTGTATTTCAGGTGACTAAGGTGGTGTGCAGAGAAGACGGTCACCTGGCCCAAAGCTAAGGGTTAGAGTAGCCGGTAAAGTGCTTGGTCACAGGAGCCTGTTTACATAAACAATCTTAAAACCTGTGGAATAAAGTTTCCATTATGAGCTAGATAATTTATTTTGAAACCGAATTATTTTTGAGTAGTGCCTGAGCTCTAGACTTTTTTATTGCTCTTTACATTTTGGCTGAAAAGCTTCAAAAATGCCTGGTTATTATATTTGTATATACAAGGAATTTTCACTAAGCTTCCACAATTAGACTACATATAGTAACAAAGACAGAGGAAATAAACTACTCCCCGAGGTCCCTACTTAGAATTCACAAACAATAGCAATCATCCCAACTCATCACCAATCCAGGCAGTTTCCTTGTAAGCCAGGGCTAGGACATTTCATGGTCACATGAAAATACAGATCTTGGCAAAGTGAAACTTTGAGTCTTTGAAGGAAAAATCAGGCCTTATGAAATGACACGCAATAACAAGAAAATGCTTAGATCACACTAAAGCCAGTATCAAAGAAAGGGCCTTTGAAGGCCAGCAAGATGGCTCTGCAGCTAAAGTCTCTTCACCAACCCTGAAGTTGATTCCCAGGACCCACATGGTGGAACCAGAGAACCAACTCCCAAATCATTCTGACCTCCACATATGCTCCATGGCGTGCGCGCACACGCACACACATGCACGCACACACACACACGCAATTTTACAAAAAAAGATCATTGGCAAAGTGACATTCAGAATGTGTATTTTCTTACAAACAATCTCGTACATTTTCAGCATGACAGTAAACATAAGCTTACTGGGAAAGATTCCCAGATATTTGACTCTGATTTTATTAATTATGAAATACAACTCATTTAAACAGTTTTCATATTTTAAAGAACCAAAGTTTTTCTTATTTTAAAATGTGAATTTTTAAGGAGATTCACTTGCCTTTTTTGTGTGTAACTAGCTGCATCTTTAGACAGATTATAGTGACATTTGCCAAGAGAACTAATAAACCAATCTAGAATTTTCTTTCCACCTGTCTAACCCTAAAAGAATGAACCTACATATATCACCTCTTTGATCTGTTAGTGCTTCAGTGAGATTTTTTTTTTTTTTGGTTACATAAATAATACAGTGGTATTAAGTAGTAGTTTTCAGCATGACTTAAAAATAGTACTTCAAACTTTTAAAATCTTGAATTTTTGTCTCTCACAGGCCAAAAACAGAGAACTACTCAAACAGGTTGCAGCGTTGTCAAAGGGTAAAAAGTTTGACAAAAGTGGAAGCGTACTAACCTCTCCTTGAAAGTAATTGGTCAGTGTTTCTGTTACAGTGTAAATCTGGAGGGCAATTCTGTGAAGCCCTTAAATTCTGTGTAGTGGAAAATATTTTTACACACCGACAGAATCGGTGTGTTTCCTATTCACTTTTGTAACTGATACACAGCATTTTTTAAGTTGTGAAACATGCAGATAAAACTTCAACTGGTTTGGAGTAACTTTTTAATTATTTGATATCCAGAAACTTTTTTGCTACAATAGTATTAAGTGGCTGTAAGGGAGCGTGAAGCATGCGCTGTCCGGAGCGTAGCAGGCAATAATAGAGGTGGTTTTCAGTCAGAGCAGCAGGGCTTGTGTTGTTTTGTCTTTCGTTCAACACTATGCTAATTTCAGATAAATAGTTTTCAATTTAGAAATATAAAACTTTTAAGCAAGAAAACGGCGAACACTGGTTTTCTGGGATTGTATTTTTACTTCACATCAACATGAATTTAGGAGAGAGTCATGGTGCTTTTATTAAAAGAACTTCAGAGTATATGTAAATATGTTTTTAAAAGTTACATCACTAACATTAGTAAAATAACATTTTCATTATTATAGGAATTCATGTTTAGTGTACAGTATCAAGGTAAAATGTTTGTGTTTTGTAAAAACTGTAGATTTTTACTTACAAGTGCCTTTTTGCCGCCTAATGTTTTTATTTATAGGAATGCTGATCTTTTGTACATATGATTTGTTTAAAAATCATGTTAATAGATGTTTGTATATAAGTGCATATGTACAGACCTATTTCAATAAGAAATCAAAATTGTTACACATGAGGTTGCATATAAGAGCTGACTGGTAATGCATATAGACTCAAAATAATTTTGTGGTTTGTGTCTATGTAATAAGGGGAGCTATTGATCATTGAATTCATTTTAATTATGTTCAAGTACTTTCCTAAAGAGTTAATTTTAACTCAGTTTTGATAGAGTAATTTTATTTTTTATGTTATGTGGCTTCATGTTTATATTTTGTGAGTTACGTGCTTTGCTTTATTTTTTATATAAATTTTCTTTAAAATGTATAATGTTTCTGTGAGGGCCGTGTATCTGCTTTCCTTACACTGTGTGACTAAGTTAATATTTATGTACACCATACTTTGTAAATTTAATACAAATCTGAAAAATTAAATAACTTTATAATCAAATTTGTGCTTATGTCTGAATAAATTGGAATCTGTAAGATTCAGGCACTATTTATATGTAATTTGTCTCAAAATATAAAATTGTCTTTATAAAAGTTTTATATAGTGTGGGATAGACTATATGAAGTTATGGATTATATTCTGAACTGGTTTTCAGCCAGTAATCAAAACTGATCTCTGTTCACTATCAGTTCAGACCTTTAGTTTAATTTTGAAATCTCAGGCATTGTTAGAAACACTGTATATATAGAATTCTTTCCCTTAGGAATATATGGGCAGATAAATGTTACAAGTAAATTGTTAAATTCATCAGTTTCGAAGGTTTTGATTTTAGACAGATGATTTGATCTTCACATCAAAGATTAGCATTCTCAAGAGCACTTGATAATTGTAATAATTCTGAATATTATTCGTGTCTTATTAGACTTCTTATAATTGTTTATTACAAATGATAAAGAATCTGCCCAATTTGGAAACATGTAGTTTAGGGTAATTTTCAGTAGTAAGATTAAATCAGTTGGATTTGGAAAAAATAGTTTATTTTTTATGATAGCCTCATACAGATAATCTTAAATTCACTTCTCTCATTCCGTGGCAGATAGCGCCTTAATGTGGATTTTAATGTTTGCAAGATTTTTAATTCGTTCCCTTTCTTTAAAATTTATAATGTTTTATATTACAGTTTCTTAGCCATTTTTCAATCGATGGTGGTCATAATTGTTCTAAATAAACCATAGTAGTTCTTAGACCTGCTGGAGATGATACAAAGGAAATTTGGCCCTCCCCTTTTATGACATGACAACTGTGAATCAGTTTAAAACAACTAAGCTTTGTAAAGTGGAAAGCTGAATCCATGTGGAGCTTTGCAGTGTTCAGCCCTAGTTAGATGCCCTCTCTTTAGTCCAGGACCTCGTTTTATAACCTAAGTTTTTACAGCTGTATAGAAGTAACTGAATCCTAGTCCGGGATCTGTAGTGCATCGACATGAGAGAACCCCTTAGATGTGGCCTGTTGGGAGATGACGGTGTGCTGTGTTGTGCTTCAGCCTGCTCGCTGCAGTTAGCGTTGACCAGTGACGGTCATCTGGGCTCTGATTTACTAGATATTAATAGCCTGTGAATATTGCAGTCCTTTTTAGATTGTATTGGTCTAAATATGCATTCTGCAGTGAACCTGTTACGCTGTTCACGTGTATAGATTATCCGAATACTGTACCTGTACACATCTGACTGTTGACTTTTTGTACTTTTTTCTAAGTCCGCTATTTCACAATAAAAACATATCAAAAACTTTGTGTTAATTTTCTGTTTCCATTGTAACAAGTTGCTGCAACTTTGGTGATGTAAAAACAATGGGAAATAATAGCCTTCCAGTCCTGGAGGCTGGAGCGAGGAGCTAGCGACCTCCTTGCCTCTAACTCTGCAGAGCCGCGAGCTTCACCTTCTTTTCAGTGTCGGCCGGAGGCCATCAGAGCCCCAAGTGTAGCCTCTTCCGACTCTCTTCTGTGCATGTCTTCTGTTAGTCCTGCTTCCCTCCTCCGAGGACCTTGTATTTGTGTCCACCTCTGTGACAGAAGCCCATAGTCACATCTGCAGAGTCCCAGGTGTCCAGTAAGGTGCCATATTCACAGGCTCTAGAATGCTCACTGTGGACTTGTGGGGGCCAGGGGTGTTGAGCCTGCTGCAAGGTTCATCAGTGTTTTCCCGTTTGCTAGTGAAGTCCCAAGTCCACAGATGAGGGAAATGTTACACTGAACTTCGGAAACTTCGGTCTACTCTCCCTTAGGGAGGTGGCAAATTTGAATATAGCACAGGCTGAATGGTATAGAAACCAGTGCAGGAAGCTGATGAAGCTTATGTCCGTGAATTGAAATGCCAGAGACAGAGCCACAGAAAACCCAGAGCACGAAGAGTCACCGTTGGCAAGTGGCCAGGAACTGATGCATTCAATCTTTTTAACTTTTCCATAGAAACTGTACTACTAGGCAAATACACGAGAGGCAGTTTGTCTTGGAAATAAAATCTACTTAATAAAAAGCATGATAGTATTAGGATCTCGTTTTTGCATCTTGCAATGGAGAGGAGAGGCATTGGGCACAAACGGCTGCTGGAAGTTCATGGAGAAGACACGTTAAAGTGGCTTCCGATGGAGAAATGTCCAGTTGTTAGACCTAGCATCTTCCAAATTTGCAGGAGATAGGAGTAAAGTTCAGATCAAAAGTCAACAGAAGGATGTAATTGGCGTAATTTTCTACATAATTTGCAAGGGGGATGAAAGACAGATGCACTGTACTGAGGAAGGAGCTGCAGAGACGCCTCAGCGGTTAAGAGCACTGACTGCTGTTGCAGAGGACCCAGGTTTGATTCCCAGCACCCACACGGAGTCCTTAACTCCAGTTCCAGGGGAATCTGAAGCCCTCTTCTGACCTCCGCGGCATTGCATGACATGGGTGCACTCACTCACATGCAGGCAACACACTCAGATACTTAAAAAAAAAACTTAGGAAGTATCCAGTCACAGTGGAACTTTGGAACTTGAATCAAAGAAACAAGATTTTCTTTAATATTTACACAGCTGGGAATTTACATGCTGGCTATTTAATGCTATTAAAGAATTTACTGTTAAATTGTCAGATGTGGTAATGCTACTGTCAGTACTCTTTACAAGTCCTTGTGATACCTATGGAAATGTTTGCAGTTAGATGGCACAGTGTTTGGTTTCGGTCCGTGGCATGGGGAGCTTGGCTTGGAATGCAAATGAAGCAGGATTGGCTGTGTGCTGGAGGTGGGTGATGTCCTACGTGGTGACTTACACTCCACTGCCCCGCTGATTTTTTTTTCATGATAAAAAGCATCACAAGCCAGGCATCTTGATGCACGCCTATGATCCCAGCAGTTGAGAAGCTGCGGCAAGAGGACCATGAGCTTGAGGCCAGCCTGGGCTACATGATGAGACCCACCAACCATCCCTACCAAATTGTGCTCGCTGAATAAAAAGTGTCCATTATTGAGTAAAAATAAGCAGCCCACCATAACTAGTGTTCTGGAGACACCCATGGGTTCCCGTGCTCGTTTTCTTCAGCGTTGTCTTTGAGTAGTGGCTGTCAGCATGCCACAGTGTTAATTTTGGTTCCTGTTTCCTTCATAAGAAGCCACCGTGTCACAAAACTGCTTGGGCTGGGGTTGAAGCTCGGCGGTAGTGCACGACAACGTTTTATACGTGCTGTGCTGGTCACTGCTGGGAGTTATAAAAATGCAAAAGTAAACTTTCTTGGGACCTCACATCTACAAAAGGAAATTATTGCACAAAGCATGAGAAATAGCCTTACTCACAAACAATTACGTTAAGGGAGTTACTAAGAGGGATCTTGTTTCATGTAAAAACCACACTTGACCCCAAATCAAGGCAAGTTAAATGGCCTGTGGCTCCATGCCCTTCTGCCTTGCTTTGTTCCATTGCTGGTTCATGCTCATCTCCTTTATGTCAAAGGGTTGGGGTGTTCAAGGGCTCTATCTGCCCCTTTTTAAATTTTAAAACACTGTTCACTTCCTAGGTGAGTTCTACCTACGTGGCTAATGAGGCCCGAACTTACAGCAGCAGTCGAGATCCCCCCTAATTTCCAGACTCGATTCATCCAACTTGGCACCTCCATTTGGATTCTAAATAAGCCTCTTAAAATTTATTTTTTACTGTTTTCTGTGTGTAGTGTGTACATATACATGCCACAGCATGCATGTGAAGGTCAGAGGATAACTTGGAGAAGTTGGTCCCAGGGGTTGAAGCCAGGTGATCAGGCTTGGTAGCAAGTGTCGTCCTGCTGAGCCATTTTGCTGGCTCTAGCCTCTTAGATTCAACATGTCCAAAGCTGTGTCCTGCTTAGCTGTGCACCCCACTCCACAGTCCACATGACAGCCAAGCCAGCCCCTCTTATTGCTTCCCGCCTTAGTGATGGAAACTTGACGTTGGGGCTCAAATCCTCAGTGCTATCTCACTCATACCCTGTGGTCATTCTTTCAGAATTTCTGTCAGCTCTAACTTCAAACTGTATGCTGGGTTTAATCCCCCTCCCGGGGGGGTGGTGTGTGTTGGGGGGGGGTGTTCTCTGGTGCTTCATTAGGCTGTAGTCTATCCTCAGTGGACAGCCAGTTAAAGAGATCAGATCACCTTGATTCCAGTGGTTTCAGCCAGCAGGGGACTCTCCTAGAGACATTTGACAAAGCCTGAAGGTACTTTTGATGGTCAGGACTGGTGGGGCTGGGGAGGAGCTGCCTGACACCATGTCAGTAGAGGTGGATTCCCCCTCCCACACTGCAGAATCAGGCTTCATGACCAAGAACTGTCCATCAAGATGGCAGTGCTCAGCTTGAAACCTACTGACAAGTGCACCGTTGATTGTGGACCTTTTTATTTTTTAAATTTTACATGTATGAGTGTTTTGTCTGCATGTATGTAAGTGCACCACATGTGTGCAGTGCCCACAGAAACCAGAAGAAGGCATCAGATCCCCTGGAACTGGAGTTACAGACTGTTGTTAGCCGCCATGTGGGTGCTGGGAACTGAACCCAGGTCCTCTTTAAAAGCAGCCAGTACTCTGGACTGCTGAGCTGTCTCTCCAGTTCCTGATTGGAGGATTATTAACAGTTTATCACAGTTCCAGTAGGCCAAGGCTGTGATGAGAGCACTGGCTGATTGAAAGTTTGAAGAGGGCTTCTCAGATTCTGCCTTTGCCGCGCATTCTTAGCTAGTGGGAAGGCAACTGTCTGGTCCTCTTGGCATGAGGCCTGGCTGACCACATCATGATCTGATCACCTCCCAGACCTCACTCCTACCCCCATCACTTGGTAGAGACACAAATGCCACCTGCTTTTCTGGAAGCCCTTACTTGTCACACCCTCTGATGGCTTTAGACTTTGACTTTAAAACACCTCATTATACAAAACTGCAGATTATATGACTAGTAATCAGCAAATCCATCCTTTCTTACTTTTGTTAACATTTCTACAAATGTCCACAAGGGGGAGCACGTCACCACCAAATGATACTGCATGTAGTATATTTTCACTTGGTGCTTAGCCAGCCCTAGGACCCACTGGTGAGAGCAAGCTTATCAAGTTACCTTATAAACACATGTTTTTTATATGTGATACTCCATGTTCAGAAGCAATTGTTTTTGGACAGTTCCAGTGTATCCTTTTTTTTTTCTCCCAAATCCAGGTAACTAATTAGCTCCCTGAAATTTAAAATACCTTTGGATGGATTGCTTTTGAATTCAGAATTACTGTTTTTGTAAAGTTGCTTTAAGCCTATCATATTCAATGTTTCTGAATATTTACTTTTAACTGCAGTCTCACTGATGTGGGAGGCAAAATACGTATTTGGTCCCTCTACTCCATCTACATCCAGGGAGATTCCTGTTCTTCCTGCACTCGGGCGATACAGTGGGTCAGGGAATCAGCATCCTACATCAGAAGCTGGTCATCTCCAGTGGAGACCCTGTGTCCTGAGGAGACAGGACACACGACCTCCTCTGTTCATGCAGCTTGGTGACCCATTACGCACAGCCTGCACAGTGCCCTGGGGCCTACCACTAGATTAGAAATGGTGTTCTTTGAATTTAAGCTGTTGTATACTTTAGATGATTCTTAAATGATCGTCTTTGAAACTATTGCTTCGTTTTACACATTTCAGGTGATTTTTCTCTGATTATATTTCCCTTATTTGGTATTAATAGGACAATGTTTTCTGGGAAATAAGGGATTATATGGCCTATTAGCTTCTGTTGCAAGTTCTTAATTTTCCATGCAGCTAGAAAAATCATTCCTCTCTTGTCCACGTGGAAAACATATCAAACCACTTTTAGCCAGGATGAAGTTTATCAGTTTTGTCAGAGGAAATTGCTAACAATTTCCAGTGAATGTCCACTATTGAGGCACTGGGCCAAATTTTTGATGCATCAGCACTCTGAATGAGAAACCTGGCATGTTGCATCTTATCCACTGTACAATTTAGAAGATTTATGAAAAGAAATTAAGACTTGTGGGGTGGAGCAGGTGCAGCGAACCCTAAAAGACTTAAAGAGCAGCTGAATGGGCAGCGGCAGTGGGGGGCAGGGTATTGTGCCTGTGAAAATAACCACCAAAGGCCACTGCAACAACTGCATGCAATTTCCACATAGTAGAAAGTTTCTGAGAGGCTGGAGCGATGGCTCAATGGTTAAGAGCACTGGTTGCTCTTGCAGAGGACCCGGGTTTGGTTCTCAGCACCCACATGGCAGCTAA